CATTTTGGCTAACGAAAACGGTAGGTACAAGGGTTTTATGGGTGGTGAATTAGGATAGACAGTGGTATATGCTTTAATTACTATTGTATGAATTTTTATTCTATTGTATTTATAAATGTTGTCGATTTATATCTGTAGATTTTCCTTAAGTGTATTATTGTTTAACGTGTTGCGGAAAAACCCGTTTCTGGAAAAATAGAAATGGTGGTTAGGAGGTCATCTACTTCAACTTATCTGAAGTCCAACTTGTTGTTCTGGAGTTAGATAAGTAAAGCCCGCAAAGCACCGCGCCCATCTTTAATTTACATGCGGAACAAGTTACTCCCTGCGGCCGTGAAAAACCAACTTACTTACATTTTTCCACTTTACGCGTACTTCTAACAGTTTCCTTTAATGATTTTCCCATCTCCTCGACCCCAATCCCCCTATAACCACCGTTTTCGCAGGACAAACTGCTGGGACTAGGGGACCTTTAAGGTGTGCTACTTGAACTGCCTTTGCACACTATTTTGCTAAGGGTTCGAAATCAAAATACCCATGTACATTTGAAGTCTGTCAACTTATTATCATGAAGGAATTACGCAGAAAGGATGGATGCAAAAAATAGCACAATCGGTCAGACCTGACTACCCACTTCTCAGATGTGGCACTAAGAAAAAGCAGTGTGTAGTATAGGGCAAGAACTCACTATCGCGGTCCGGTCGGCTCTGCTCGTGGAAAAATCCCAGCGCATGACCAAGTTCATGCATGACCGTTCCTTCGCTTTTGCATTCGGATGCGATAGAAATACTTTGCGGTCCATGCTGACGACCCACAGCCGAACAGCACCTACATATTTTTTTAAAGTAAACAAAATTTATGCGCTATGTCATTAACCCAAAATGCAGACTATAATACTAATCTGTGCGATAACATCGCATTTCAGAGGAAACTATCTTTTAAAGAATGGGTATTAGGCCTTTTTATTTCCTAACTTTTCTTTTTGATTTGCGTGAATCAGTATAATAATGTATGTGAGGTTGTCATTGAGTGTTGTTGAAGATAGTTACTTCCGTTGGAAATGATATGAAAGCCCATTATTAAACAGACATCAGTCAATATGCGTGAAGATTCGAGGTCCAGATATCATATCATTTTCGCCATACCCCAAATAAGAGGACGAAGAAGGTACAAGGACATGAACCGCTTTATTTTGGGACTGACGTTTCGGACACTCTCTCGTTTCCATCGTCAGAGTATCTGGGTGGTTGTTAATGTTGCCGCCTTGCCACGTGCCTATTATTATGTCCGCGCTCGACGCACGAACTTTGACCTGCCTGATCGATATTGACTGACCTTGATATTGAGTGCTGGTGAGCTCGTGTGATCACTACTTACTTTTCGGCTGTCGCAAATCAGCATACTGTCTGACGTGCCCATCGTCGATTGACGAAGTAATCAGTTGTTTCTGCCCGCCTGAGTTGATCTCAACCTCGTGGGCGCGTTGATGATGTGGTTCCTGGCCGGCTTCTACTCTATTTACCTCCGAAGCTGGTTCTATTCTACACTCGAGTTTATTTTGCTTTCCTGTTGGCCCTTTTCGAACTGACTCGAGCCTTGTGCGCAACGCCCGGCAGGCGGGGTGAACGTCTATGGCTCTATTGAGTGTGCTAGTCGAAGACCAATTTTTCAGCAGCAGTCTGGCAACCTTTTCATTGGCTCGGGCAAGAACCATTGCTCTGTCAAAGATGAAGACGTTGCTCTTCTGCTGTGCGTGGTCATAGAACGTGGACAGTTTATCCTTGCTGTTGGTTGCCTCTTGATGCTCGTGCAATCTTGTGCCCAGGCGTCTGCCCGTTTCACTAACATACCTTGCATCACAGTCTTGACATGGTATGCTTTAGACCACACCTGATTGTTCTGTCAACGGTAGCGGATCTTTGGGTCGCATTATTTGCTGTCTGATGGTTGACTCCGGCCTATGAGCCACACCGAACCCGAATGGTTTCAGGATTCTAGCAGCTGCCTCTGATACATTCATCATATAAGAGATTGAGAGCCAGAAATTTGGGTCTTCTCCTTTCGACGGCTCAAAGTGGGACCTCTTGAGACACTTGCGTACAAAAGACGCAGATTAACCGTTGTCCTGAAATAGAGCATGCAGGTACTTAATATCCTCCTTTTTCCCACTTTCGTCGCTGCAGTGTGTCTGAACGCGTTTTATTATATCCGCGCTCAACGCACAAACTTTGACCTGCCTGATCCATGTCCTCGTGCCTTCTTCTTCCTCTTCTTTGGGGGATGGTGAAAAGAAATAAGTCATTGTCTTTCAATATACTCTCCTTGTTCCTTGTCATCATGAATCGGCTAGTAATTGGAATGTTAATTGATGCAGTTGCAGTCATCGAACGAAAAAGCGTTGTAATGAATCAGCGGTTAACAAAAGCCCGGGCTTTTCAAGGTGAACCGCCATTTTGCTCCTTCATCTAATCGCATGCAAACTTTCCTATCTACACGTCGTTTGGCCTACTTCACCCATTATAAAAAGTTTGTCATGTATCTTCGTTTATTTGAAATACAATCAGATAATGGGAGCACAACGTCGCCACACTAGCGCTGTTTTGAAAGCAGCCCAATTAGGCTCTTACTATGAATTGTGTCCATGATGTCGTAAATTGCAGTCATTTGCGCATATAGATTACTTTTGATATCCCCGGTATTCTAAGTTTGTGAACCTAATTTTATTCTTTTAGAACGGAGAAAGTTTTCTGAAAATTTTGGGTATCATTCTCTCTCTCTCTGTAGCTCAATATGGAGACAGGAAATATAGAGAATAACTCATTACAATTGCCATATGTGGTGCACAAGTTCGCCAGTTGGTGGTTATTATGCCAATATTTAAACACCGATCTCCCGCAATACAACATTAATCAACTAACGTCAATGGTTGCCAGATTTCGTCGGCTGGAACAGTCGATGGTTCACCCAAAGCGTTTCTGTTTAATCTACAAAATTAGCACCTGGATTTAGTGACTAAACTATCAACGCTGCCAGTGATCGCACGCCATGCCTGCAAGACTTTGTCACTGCGTAGCTGTAGAATTAAATGTGAAGAACGCCGGCTGCACTGAAATGCGCAAAAGGAAAAAAAATCATGCAAAACGCGAATGCTGCGGACAATTTTCACTCATAAATTGACTAAGGAAAAAGAGGCACTCCCTTCACAATCACCAAAAATGAAGGAACTCTAAATTGCTCACCTACCAGTTTCCCACGCACGAGCTCATTATAAGCACTACACCTATTCAATTGACTGCCAAATTCTTAATGGCTCCCTATCCACAAAAGTATCTCAAGCCGTGAAACATTTACGAAGGTCTGTGAAACGGCAATAGAACCCCGACAGCGCTCAACCTCTACTAATTCATCCTCCTTCTGAACGTCCCTCAATAGTCCGTATAATCCTAGGCCGTTACAAATTTACCACTATCATCCTAGTTAATTAGGCCAATATTTTTTTACCACCTGATCAACCGGACCTGTCGCAGCTGTATTAAGCAGGAACAGAATACAGGCGGAACACACGTCTGGTCTTTTAGCTTGTACCTAGAGAGTCATGCTGTTGGTACGCATGTTGAGTGTCGGTCACGCCAGCTGCCCGTTCCCTCCTCTCAATCTCCGACCTTCTTGGTTTTCGTCTTGACACCAAGTCCCAGTGTGGGAGTGGTGAGAGAGTGGCGTACTTTCTCAAATACTCTACTCCCCCGGAGGTCACTAAGCATTTTTCAATATGAAGAAACCGTTACCGTGGTTGCTTGTTAGTTAACTACTATGGTACTGAAGTTGACTTACAATAGTGCTTTATTTCATTTTTTAGCATGCAATTCGTAAGGCACTTACCCACAAGCTAATATTCGAAATGTTATGAAGTTTTGGTGTTGGGGCTCCCGCTCAACGAAGGAAAGACAGGTGAGACTTTCCCATATTCTCATTCCCCGGAAGATCATCGCTCTGGTTGATGCTGAGTGAAATAAAAAAACAAAATGTTCACTAATTATTAATTAGTAATGTTACTTAAAATACAACTAACTAAAGCAACACATATGTAGTATTTGCTGTGCTGAAACACTAAACACCGGAGTTCAGCCAAATTTAGACCAGTAATAACTGTTATTGTTTATTGCACCTCACCGCACCTGCGGGACCGTAATTTAAAGTATGACACACAAACGCATATTACTAAAAATTCATTCAGCTATTTTTTCCATTATTTTAATGAAAGCACTACGCATATGATAAGGAGTCTTTCGTACTCCTTTGAAAAGTGGCAGAAGGCGCCTACGTAACTCTCCAACAACTGAATGTAGAGGACGTTTGCCCCTGACCGGAGGGACGCGAGTTCAAAATTCCAGTATGGGAGCAATTTCAGCCGCAACAATGTAGTGGGTTATCTCTAGCAAATGGGTCAGAAAAAACCTTCCTAGTGTCCAATGTCTGTGCCGGTAATCTATTTCTGCATATATTTATATGGATGTATAGTAACCATTACACCCATTAAATGTATGCCTTAAGTTATTAAAGCTTAATTATTGTGCACGTGTTATGTGTTCGTGGAATCACACAAACACTTAATCGAGAAAAGTTGTACAACTATTACTATTATTGTCATGCGTGAAGCCTTTTTATTCTAACTGGCGGCCATTAAACACCGAAAATCACAAATGCGTTGCCTTCTGACGGTCGGCTTACTTATTACTTCTTATTTGTTGAATACCCTAGTTTTCTGCGCCATAGTCATCCTCAAACCGGCACAGTTGCAAGTTATGTTGTAGTTGCCGGATTGTATTTTTGGATCGAAAACGCCTGAACACAGAGTCAAATGACCGTCTGACTTTACCCAAACGGTCGTTTCGTTGATGTTTAAATGTTTGCAACAGGGTTTCAGCGGCAGAACAATAAAAAAAAGTTGCGTAAAGACAGTGTCATTGCTTGTAAAGTGTAAGTGTTCAATGATATAAGGCCTAGCCCGCAAATTCAAAGGTATAGACAGTCTTGCCATTTTCCTTTTGCATTTTTGGCAATTTCCTGAAAAATGCGATGTACTCACCCAGAAACACTGGTGCTATTTCATAAGGAATTATTCCAAATGGCCATACATGCTCTTGTAAAGATGATGCTGCTCGTCGCACTCGACGCGTGGAGTTTTCTGCACGGACAGCATCCATGTTCCGTCTACACACGTTTAGAAATGGAAAGCAGAGTAACGGGAAAAAAGCGGTAACATATTACTGTTAAAGCGCTAAAAATGTCCAGCTTGTCTTAGTTAGGACGAACGATGTGACGACAATTG